CACGGGGTTCAGGACCCAGGAGGAGCACCTGGGGCAGGGCCTGTGCCAGGGAGCCCTAGAGGCCAGAGTGAGAGTCCAGCCAGCGGTACGTGGTAGGGGGAGGACAGAAGAGGAGGGGGGATAGGGGGGAGGGGAGTAGCCACATGGACCCCTGGGTAGGCGGGTGCTGGCGGAGGGCTTTGTGTTGGTGCATGTCCCTGGGGGCGAGGGAGTCCTTTGGTTCCTCCCGCTGGGCACCTCCTGTCCTCCAGACACGCCTTTCTTCTGGAGGGCCTCACAAGACTGCCCTCCCCTGCAGTCACTCTTGCGTCCTTGTGCACTGGGGCACTCCGTGGCCAGGTGGCTCTTTATGGGATCAGTGAGGAGATGGATGAGGACTCTCGTGGTCCCTCATCAACCATGTCTTGTGTGAGGTCCTGTCACCTATGGTGCAGTCTGGCATGGGCCCTTCCACCCGTCTTAGGGTTAGAGTGGACTCCAGGTCTCTCCCGTGGATCGGAGGTGGTTTCTAGGGAGCCGACCCCTGTGACTGTGTTCACACACTCAGCGTCATCCTGCACCATTACCAAAGGCTCACCCTTAACACGTTAGGCTGCTCTGCGCTACAGATTCTGGTTCCGCAAAGATTAGCAAGAATGATCCTCCCAACCAATTCCCACCTTCAGTCAGGAAGCATCACATGGGACAGGAGAGACCAAGGATGCGCCCAGGTTGGTGCCTGTGGTTATGCCCTGATGGGACATTGTCAGGTGGGAGTGTGCCTTCTCTCCTGGAGAGATGTCACCACCTTGTGCTCCAGCACTGGTGGAAGAGAGGCCCGCATCTGCTGACCACAGTTTGTCACCAGGCACGTTAGCCTATCCCACAGTGGCCCCTGTGTGCTGAGAGCTCAGGACTGGGGCCCTGCAACCACAACCCAAATCTTCTGTGTGACCTTAGGCATGCTCTTCACCTTGAAGCCTGTGTCCCACCCTGTACAATGGGGCAATGGCACACTCTCCCCACCCCCGCCACAGGGTGGACGTGAGGATTGCGGCTGTGACTGCTGCTGGAGCTCCTTCTTGCAGCACCCTGTGGTGTGGGCTCTGCCCTCCCTCACCGTGCCCACCACCCCGCAGCTGGGACTGGAGCCCAGGCAGTCCCGCTGCCACCATTGCGACTGCAGAGGGTGGGCCGTGCCTGGCAGGCTTGGACGCAGATGGCGTGAGCAGGCACACAGATGGTGGACGCCTGACCAGGTCCACAGGAAGGGATGTGCTCTGGCTGCTTCCAGGTGGGCAGACTTCCTGGGAGCGCAGGATGGACTTGGATATGTGGAAGGTGGAGGAAAGGCTTTGCAGACAGAGGCGGCAGGTGATCTCTCTTGAGTGCAGGTGCAAGAAGAGCAGGAATCCTGCCATGGGGACTTTCTGAGCATCGAGTAGTGTCCTGGCCAGCAGGGCGCCCTTGCCAGGAGGACGGAGCCCCTCCTCACAGCCAGCTTCTGTTTGCTCGTTTTCATCACAGACACAGTTACTTACGCTGAACAGACACAAACGCTCCTAGGGAGAGCCGCCTGCAGTGCTGGAGGTCACATTTTGGAGTAAGAGGTCTATATCCAACACCGCCAATGGATGAGCCCACCATACCCTCCCACAGCCGCAGGTCGTTGAGGCAGTGACACCTGGAAGCTGTCACACCACTTATTAGGGGACAACGTGACCCGTGTCTGGGCGCTTTTGCATTGGCCCTGTCATCCAGTGGGCAGTATGGCCTGATGCTGGCCACCTTGATCTGCAGAGCAGGAGCAAAGTGTCCAGCCGTGTGTGTGTCATGTGGGAGGAGTGCACGGGAACTGCCTGTCGCTTCTGCTCAATTCCTCCCTAAACCGAAAAGTGCTCTGGAAAATAAAGTCTGTTATTTCTTTTAAAAAGTCTACTCAGGGCCGGCCCGGTGGCGCACTGGATAGTGCGCCGCTTGGGAAGCGCGGCGGCGCTCCCGCCCGAGGGTTCGGATCCCACATACAGACCGGTTCCCGCTCACTGGCTGAGCGAGGCGCGGGAAGCAACACCGAGGGTTGCGATCCTGTTGCCGGTTCCCGGTCCGGTCCGGGGGCAACACTGAGGGTTGCGATCCGTTGCCGGACACGGAAAAAGACAAAAGACAAAAAAATAAATAAATAAAAAATAAAATAAAAATAAAAAGTCTACTCACCCAGGGCCTGGGACTGTAGAAGAGGAGAAAGATTGCCCCTGGAAGGGGAAAGGCCAGATCTACCTGCAGACCCTGTGAGTGCACCTATGTCACCTCCACATCCCAGAGAGTAGGGACTCCTGACTTGGCTCTAGGCACGGCAGCTGCAGAACTGCCGGAGACAGAGGGCGAGGGGCCGCATGCTCAGTGCAGACTGCACACCAGGACAGACACCAGATGTGGATCTATTCCAAATAGAATTGGTTTTGTGGAACTAGCTGGCCAAGACTTTGGGCACCTACATAGGAGCAAGGTGTCGTGGAGAAGAGCCTGTGGGCAGCAGCTGCGAAGGTAGCTCAGCAAGTCCTGCACGGGTGCGTTCCGAGGACGGGTCCAAGATCAGATGTGCAAGGAGTTCTTCTGGAGCTCCCCAAGGGAGGCACGGGGAGTGTGTGGGTGGTGGTATGTTTTTAATTTTTATAGGAAAGAACAGGGAAAAGACATGAAGGCCCCCTTGAGAGGTTGAAATATTTATTTGAAAGAAATTCCAGGAAGAAACACTGGGGAGCAATATTGGAAAAAAGAGACAGTTTTCCTAAATTAACTGTGGCATGAGTTCTCAGACTGAGTACTAAACTCAGTGAAGCTGCAGAACGTTGACGACAAAGAGAAGGCCTTGGAAACTGCCAGAGAGGGGAACGACAGCCGGAGGACTGACTGCAACGCGACGCGCTCAGGCCCTGGGTCAGCTACAGCACACGGGCCTCAGTGCGGAGGTGGGGGCGTCCCCATCTGCGGCGTTGAGGGCAAGAGGACACGCCCCCAGTGCCCATGGTGGCGAACTCCTGAGTGGGGGAGGCGGGAGGTCAGCCACTGCGGAGAGGTGTCCACAGGAGTTTGACATGGAGGTCATGGTGACCTTGAAGGGGGCATTTGGGGCAGAATGTTGGAATTTGCAACCACACTGCTGTTAAGGGTTGAATAGGAGTGGAAGAGGTGGGTACTGTGTTTGGACGGCTCTTGTCCCAAGAAGCGTGGTTATCAGGGAGAGTAAAAACAGACACGGACACGGCTCACAGGGTGTTCTGTCAGGGGGCACCTTCTTTTTCTAACCTCCAGAGCCGTCTCTCTGGAGCCTTCCTTCGTGCGGGCAGCACGTTTCCCAGCGCTCAGCTGGAGTGCCGTGCGGCTCCACCCGCACCGCAGGCCTGTCCTCAGTGGAGGGGATGGGCCTCCAAGCCCTTGCGCTCCGCGGTGTCTCCTCCGCTCACTGTCCCCCAGATGCTGGGCTCCTGCAGGGAACTCACTGGACGGTACCTGACCTGGTGGGCTGACGTTCCTGCAGCTTCTGTTTTTCTTCACTTGGTGTTTATGAATTGGGATTCAGGAGGGTCTCCTCCCAGGGCCTCCCACCACTTGTAGGGAATGCTGGGCAGGAGTCCCCCTGAAAACTGCCGAGGCTGTGAAGCTACCCTGTTCCGTGTGGCTATTTTAATTAAAATTAAGATAAAATAGGATTTGAAATTCAGCTCTCCAGTCACACAGGGTAGTGCCCGGTAGCCCTGAGTGGCCAGTGGCTGCACAGGCACAGAACCTCTCGCCCACATGCCCCGCATGAGTGTGAGCAGCACTTGGGTTAGTGATGCTGGGGAAGGAAGCGCGGGCAGCCTCGGTGCCCACGTGCAGGCTGCGGTCACAGGGCCCTGCCCCACGCCCCCCACCGCCACGCTCACCCTGTCACCCTCTCAGCCCTACTCCCTCACTTCAGGCCCAACGAGAGGAAAGTGTGGGAAACGGGGCCCGTCTTTGAGATTCTAGAGCAAAGTGATGTTTAGGAAGGTAGAGAAAACGTGGCAGAAGTGAGCATCGCCTTCTGGTTGTCGGCCTCCCACCTTTGTCAGCAGCTGTCCCGGTCCACCTGTGCTGCCAGGAAGACCGTTAGGCTGGGCGCTCTGTGAACGGTAGGAGCTCACTCCTCACCCGTCTGGATCAGGGCAGTCTGGGGTCCAGACACCAGCAGGCCCGACGTCTGCTGTGGGCTGCTCGCCGCTTCCAGGATGGCACCTTATGGCCTAAGAGCGGAGGAGCAGGAGGAGCAGGCGGCCCGGACGCTGCGCGAAGCCCGTTTCCTACGGGCCTTCGTCCTGTTCACAAGGGAGGAGCCCCATGACCCAATCGCCTCCTAAGGACCTTTCCGTATCGTCACGTTGGCTGTTGAATTTCAGCATGAGGATTTGGGGGACATGTTCGGACTGCAGCACAGGCTCTGCCCTGGAGCTGGTCCTACAGCTGTGCAGAGGCCCCGTGCCCTGTGGCAGTGCTGGGTGGGTGGCCACGTTCCCCTGCCCCAGCATCACACTTCTCATGGGTACCTTCGTGGTCAGGTGGCCTTGCCAGTCGACCAGGAGCTTTGGTGGGAGCCGCTGCGCAGGTGCTGTCTGCGGCTCAGCAGGGGCCTTGCACCTCCGTCTGGATGCTCACACAGCCACATCCTCACCCAGGGCCCGGGCGACACGTGGCTTCCCAGCAGTGTGCCCCAAGTCTGGAGGCACGGGGGCTCCAAAGATAGTGGGTGGTCATTTTCCTTGTACCTTTTCCTCCCCTGGGCTGAGCAGGAACGGCCCGAGCAAGCGTTCACTGGAAAAGCTACACCTGTACAGTGAGTGCACGCGTCAGCTCTTCTTAGTAGAGCAGCCTGAACACTAAAAAGTCGAATCGCTGTTTTCTGTCTGGAGCAGCATCTCGCATGTTCCTCCAGGTGTGTGTGAGCTACCCGTCGCTCTCCGCTCTTTCTCCGCTCTCACCTGTGTAACCTGTCTGTTTTTCAGTGCAAGTGGTCGAGAAAAGGCTTCATCCGGACGCGATGGTGCGTTGCTGACTGGTGAGTCATGCTGTGTTGTTGTCTCTGCTTCATCTATTTTCAGAATGTTTTTACCCTTCTTTTGTATTTTGCGCAAATGGTTGGTTGCAAATGTCTCATCAAAGGCTCTGCTGATTTTTAACAGAGACCCCTGGCTGCCCGACCCCCACTCTGTCCTTCTTTGACCTTTTTTGTTTTGGGTGATGCCATAGGATGCAGAGCATTGTCCCCTGTTCCCTGTAAGGTAGAGGTCCTGGCACTCAGCACAAGTGCAGGACTCAGCCAAGGCCTTCTGGTCCCTCCCCTGAGCTTGAGAATTGCATTGGCCAGAGCGCCATGCCAAGTGAAGGCCAGAGCCAGGCGTCCTTTTGTGGGTCCCACAGCTACAAACTTAGATTGTGTAAACATGGCCTGGTGGCCTGTTTTGTCAGGCGTTTGAGCACAGATAAAGTAGGACCATCTCCGACTTGGTTAGCTCAGGCCTGGACTTCCCATGGGTGCCTGTGGTCTCAGTGGTGGGGCCTGCCTTTTCTCCAGGGTAAGAAGCATGCCCAAGTGCCCCCCACCTGCCCACTTGGATGCTGTTTTCATTGTCCTCCCATGGGTTTCTGAAGCTCTGCTGCAGGAGTTAACAGATCACCCTAACTTAGCCCCTTTATTAGGTCATGGTTTCCATGGCTCAGGTTCCAGGAGTGGTTTAGCAGGTGGTTCTGGCCCAGGTCACCATAGGGCTCTATCCTCTGAGGCATCAGAGGTGCAGAGTATCCACTTCTGAGCTCACTCACAGGGCTGGGCCGTGGATTGGGGGCCTCGGCTGTACCCCACACAGGCCTCTCCCCGGGGCTGCTTGGGGTGAGGATCCCAGAGAGTGGGAGGGGCGAGGAGAGAAGGAAGCAGCCCAGACGGAGCCACAGCCTCCGGGACCCAACGCAGGAAGCAGTGGCCACCCTGCTGCCCTTTGCCCTTAGCCACAGGGACCACCGTGTGCATGTGGGAGGGGCCTCACAGGGACACTGGGAGGCAGGGTCATCGGGTCGTCCAGGGTTGGTGACCATGGGCTGGAGGAGGGCGCGTACCCGCAGGGCTCTCATTCATTGTCATTACTGCTGAGGAGGAGGGGTGTGGGGCCCAGCGTGCATGTCCCATTGGGGCTTGGGGCCTATGAGGACTTGAGAGCCATGGGGAAGCGAGAGCCATGGGATAGATCCAGAATCGTGCTGGAGCCACCCTGCTGACCTCGCCTGGTGCTCACTGGAGGTGCTGAGGGGCTCTCCAGGTTATGGGACAGCTAACCCTGGCCAGATTCTGGCCTCGCCAAGTCCCCGTGTGTGGAGGGACGTGGAGGCCGACACGGAGCACACAGGGTTTCTGAGGGTCTTCCTCGGGGCTGTAAGCTCAGAGGCTTCTTTTGGGGAGCGGAATGAAGCAGCCTGCTTGCCTGCCCCCACGCCCCCCTGCCCCTTGCCCAGTGCTGTAGACCCCGACAGGGTGCCCTGGCAGGAGCCAGGCAGCTGGGGCCCCTGTTCCTCTGTTCTAACTGCAGCTTGAGGAAAGTTTCTGTAACCAGATGTAAGTCTTTTTCTTGGAAGTAAAATAACTTGCTTTTCACTTGGCCTGAGTAACTGCATTTGTAGAGATGTATTAAGAACTTAACTGAAGGTCTCACGTCCTCTGGCCGGGAAGGAACACACACTCTGGGTCAGCCTGGAGCAGCCAAGGACAGTGTGGGCAGAGGCGGGCTCAGGCTGGCCCTCAGGAGCCAGCTGTTCATCTGAGTTCTCCTGGGGTGCAGCCAGGGGCTCCTTGGGAGTGTGGCTGCGGCGTCCACAGTGGTCACTGTGTCCTTTTCTCTTCTGCTTGCAGTGCCTTTGACCTGGTGAACGTCCATCTTTTCCATGATGCTTCCAATTTAGTTGCTTGGGAAACGAGTCCCTCCGTGTACTCGGGCATCCGGCACAAGGCCCTGGGCTACGTGCTCGACAGGTAGGTGCCGGGTCTGTCTGCTCCTTCCCACCCCAACCACTTCCTAAAGCAATTATGACTTACTCTTTTGGGCCACTTTCCTGGTTTGCCAATGGCACGTGCGAATGCTGACCCGTCGAGGTGGTGATGTTCCCATGCCCTGCCCATGGGCTACGTGGCACCCTCTGCAGTTGTGCCAGCGTGGACTGCTCCCGTCTTTCTCTTGCCTTTTGTGGGGAGATGTAGTGGGGTGTGAGTGGCGATGCTGGCATGTCTCACAACCCTGACAGTCACACTTGGCTCTGGGCTCAAACACGCACTCTCCCGGGGTTTCTGCGGGCCATGGGCTGTCCTCCACACAGCTCCAGCCCTGCCGTGTGACACCTAGAGCTGCTGGGATCTGGGTTTGGGCACCATAGACCGACCCCCGCCTGTGTGGGGTCAGCTCAGTGAGCTGCCTGCCCAGCACAGCAGCACCTCCTTACCCTCTCTGTCCCCTCCACCGGCCAGGTGGCCTCAGTGACCATCAGAACTCAGGGGCCTGTCCCTGCTTACTGCCTGTGCTCTAGTGGCCCTGGCTTCTCCTCCCTGTGTCTGTGACACCTCACGTGACCTTTGGCAGGGTCAGAGCTGATGGGCCGTGGTCTGGGAGAGAAGGAACCTGACCACCCGGGTACGTCCATCTTGACCGTCTTGCCTGCTGCCAAGGCTCCGTCCAGGCAGCGTGTTGTCTGGATTTCCCCTCTGCCTGTTCTCCTTAGTCCCCACACTGAAGCCCTCCCCCAGCACCCCTGTGGCTGTGTGGCAGTGAGCCATCACCTTGGCCTTGAGACAGTATTTTCCACAGGCCCGAGATGCATGTTTCTACCCCAGGGTGGCACCTGATCACCCCCTGAGCCCCAGACTGTTTCCTAAGGGGCTCTGCCTGCCCCCATGCGTGAGGAGCATCCCGTGTGCTTCTGGGTACACGTGCAAGGACCTCACACTCCTCTTCTTTGTGGCCACATTTTGGCAGCCAGCCTCCAGCTGCCTTGTCAGACCCTTACCTTTCTGCCCGGGGCCGTCTCCCTCCTCCCTGCGCCTGTGGCACACAGCTGTCACCCAGCCCTTTTAGCCAACTCTCCTGGAGGAGCCTAAGCCTCTGCCAAGTAGAAGGGCTGAGCCACCCCGGAGCCACCACCCATCCCTGGGGCAGTCACCTGGCTGCCTGTGGCCATGTGGGCAGAGGCAGCAGTCAGGTGTGGCACAGCCTGGACCCCCAGAGGAGGAAAAGCCGGGCAGGTGCCTGGTGCTCCCTGAGCCTTTGGGAGGCTGCCTTGGAGGAGGTTTCTGGCCGAAAGAGAAGTCCACGGGAAGGGGCTGGTGGTGGGGCCCCCACCCCGAGTCATATGTGGCACCATCAGGTTCGGGAGGGCTGGGTGGGCCAGTCCTGGCAGAGGCTATCCCTGGGAACTGCAGGGGACACATTTCTGCCCCAGCAAGACTTGGGACCTGGTGGGGTGTCCTGGGGGAGGGTCCCTGGAGTCAGGTGGCGTCACAAAGGAGAACAGCCACCCTGGGAGGTCCCTGAATGAGCATCTGGTTACAGAGATTCACAGCATCTCATGAAAATAATGTGTGTATGTGTGTGTGTGTATGTGTGTGTGTGTGTGTGTGTGTGATGGGGAGCCTGTGTGTGAGCACATGTGCATGTGTACGAATGTGCATGCGTGTGTGCGCATACACTCATGTTCATGTGTGAGCACGTGTGTGATTGTGTTTGATGTGTGAGCATGTGTGCATATGCTGTGCATTCGTGTGCATGTTTCTCTGTGTGTGTGCATGCCTGTGAGCATGTGTAGGCATGTGTGTGTGTCAAAGCTCTGTGCTGTGTGCTGGGGAGGAGGTGGACGGCTGGGTTCTGTCCGTGGGTGCCGCTCCAGGATGGAGCCGGTGCCAGCTGGCTCTCTCCTTTATCACCTGTGTCTGTAATGAGCTGGGCCTGGTGTGGCCTTCATGAGCCCCTCACCCACTGCCTTCACGTTCCTCCTGGATTCCTCCCGGGGCTCATGGGAGGGTGCTCTGTGCAGGGAGTCGGAAGGTGGGCTTCCATCCTTGTGCTGCTCTTAGCCAGGCATGTGGCCAGCAGTTCACCCCCGGAGACCAAACCTCCCCACTTGGTAGGAGAGGGGTGAGCCTGAGGCCATCCGAGGTCAGTCCAACCTCTCCCTGCCTTGTCTCTAGCATGAGGGAGTGCCCTGGTGCCTGCTACCACCTGCGGCATCCTCACAGGGAGCCGAGCACATGGGACACAGGCCTGGTGCTTCTGCTGTCACTGCTATGCACTGAAGGCCTGGCCCTCACCCCACACGTGGCCATGTGCTCCTTGGGGGGCCTTGCCAGCCCCCTTGCTTGAGCAGAGCTGGCACTGACACCCAAGTGTAGGTGACCCAGCCTGAAGTCTGAGGTCTTGGCCACTGCTGGAGGACACAGCAGGTGACTGTGGGCTCAGGTGCTTTGTCACCAACAGTATGACTGATGACAGCCTGTGACTATGGACCCGGCATTGCCATATTGGTAGCGAGGCCCCACAGCAGCCTTGCTACCCTCCTGCTCCTGGAGTAGAAAATTGGCTAACTCTACCCCGAGCAAGCTTAAACCCCGAGGATGGCACTGAGTTGACAGGGCCTCCCCTCAAACATCTTGTCTCACTTTAGCAAGGAGCCGCAGAAATGTCGGACCCGGGCACAGGGCCCTGAGTTCTGCTGCCAGCCTTCCTGGGAGCAGCCCATGGACAAGGCCCGTCCACAGCACATCCGGGTGCAGTTCTCCGGCCTGATTGGTCCTTTGCTTTGTAGCACCAAGTTTCTTGGGGACCTCCCACAGAGCCCAGGGCCAAGACGGTTCGACTGTACCATTCAGTCTTGGTGACTGTGGTTAGGATGTCAGTGTGGTGTGGCATTAAAATGTGTCATTGCCCTACACCACCATGCCTCCATGGCCGCCAGGAAAGCCGCATTTGGGTTCTTAGGCCACTTTTCTGTGTCTTTGCGTTCCCATGAATGCCTCTGTGGCGAGCTCAGCCAGCCGCAGATCCGGACCTCCACCGTGCAGGGCTGGGCTTCCTGCACAAAGGGGAGCACTGCAGGAACGTGAATAATGGGCCGTCCTTTCATCGGGGCTGCTAACCTTTTGGCAGCCACCAGCAGACTGCATTCTGCCGTGCTGATTGGGGAGGACAATGCTGCGCTGGCCCTTTGAATGGATGCTGCCACCAACAGTGCCTCATTCACAGCGTTGGGAACCACCACGGGCATTGTCTGCCGGGTGCGCTGAGACGCAGGAGACAGCGAGAAGGCTCCTGAGGGGGAGCCTGCATTTTCCTGGCTTAATCTCCCCATAAAGCTCCGTGGGTTTCCTCCCCATCTGAGCGGTAGGAGCATGTGGCATCAGACCCAGGAGGGGGCAGCTGGCCCCTGTCCCCAAGAACACCTGGTACTGTCTTTGCAACTCTTCTCTAAGTCTAGGATTATTACAAGATAAAAAGGTTTTTTAGGAAAAAAGAGAGGGAAACTCCGAGTTAAATTTTTAGAAGCACCTGCCCACCCTGCGCCCCAGCTTGCGTGCGGAGCGCCTGCTCGTGGGTTGTCCCACGCAGGACACAGCACTGGGATGCCACACACAGGGCACACTCCTGCCCAGCACCCAGGAACCCTGCCGCAGCTTGAGTGTAACTTTTTCGATTGAAAAGACGTTAAAAAATACCACTTTTGACGTTAATGATGTGTAGCCAGTCATCTGGATTTCTTATCACAAATCTTTATTTTTCGTGCTAGCCATGACATTTTGCTTCAAATCTTTTGTTACAAAGGGTTGAGAAAGAAGACAAATCCCTAATTAATGAAGAGTGCCAGGCTCAGAGAAGTCTCAAAGTCCCTGACCCAGGGCCTGAGGGTCCCCTTCTACCCGACAGGTGCACGGCCCACAGCCTCTGTGTGGCTCTGGGAGGCACCTGACACCAGGCCCCGGCAGTGGGGCAGGCTCAGCCTCTCACAGACATGCAGGCCAGCTCTTCCGGGGCTCTGGAGGGATTAAACCAGAGCTCCACGCTGGCCTTCCTGAGGCGCCAATCGCTGAGATGTCCTGGAATCTTCCTGAGCTTTCACCCCGTGAAATGAGATTTTTTTCCCCAAGTGACAGGGCTCTCTGTCTCCCTTTGAAATGTGCCTGGCCTAGTTCAACAGAACATTTTTACATTACAACTGTGAAGTCCTGGCATGAAGCGCCCCTTTGTCCCCCATTATTTTCTCACAAATACAGTCCATTGTCACAGCGCTGAAGTTAATTTGATCAACATTGGGACATTTAACTTTTATGTCCAGTCAAAAGAGTTGTTTCATGCTCATTTTGGGCATTCAAAGGAGATGATTGCCAGAAAAATAATGTTCCTTGGGACAATTCAGAGCAATTAGTTTCCCAGGGAGAGGTGGTGTGGTGCCTGCGCCACACAGTCCCCTTTGTGGCTTTATGGATGGTCATCACTCAGCTGTCAGCCTGCTCAAAGACCCTCCAACCTAAATGTTCCTCTTCAGGCCGTTCCCAGAACTCGCCTGGCTGTCCAGCAAGCAAAAGAAAAGCCACCGCGTCTCTAGGCAAAGGCAGACTTGGTGCTAAGGATCCAGGTCATCTGGACCGCGCCAGGCCCTGGCTGGTGCTTGTGCTGGTTTGCTGCCATGGCTGCCCTTGGAGGGCCAGCTGCAGGCACCTTTGTCAGTGTACGCGTCCGCATCAGGCATCCTCAAGCCTGGAGGTGAACGGCGGCTTGCCACGGGTCTGTTTGGAACCCCCCTGGTGCAGCATGGAGTCCCAGAAGCAAACCCAGAGCCTTGCAAGCTGCCCAGCTAGTGCTCACTGCCGTTTCTGCAGCTGCCCAGCCTGAGTCCCCCAGGCCTGCGCCCATGCCTCCACGGCACCCAAGAGAAGCATGCCCAGTGAAGCCTGTGCAGCCTGGTGCCGTCCTGACGGAACGAGTTCTTCATGCC